CCAGTTGGGGGGAGTGCAGGAGGCAGCCATACATTGATGTTTCTCTTCTTCTTTGTCTCCCTCCTTTTCCCTCTCTAAAAATAAATATACAAAATATTTTAAAACACATTTAAAAAACAAATAAAAAATAAAGTAAAACAATAGCAAGGTATAGACCCCAAATTCTGAACACAGTATCACGTGAGGCAGGGAAGAGGATGAAGGGGGCGATCAAAATTAAATTGTATCAAGATCCTTTTACTCTACAGGAGGAAGGAGATAATTATTTTCTACAGATATAGAGAAGAAAGAGGTTTCACATATTTTTAACTTATGCTAAGTATGACTGCATAATTTTTAATGTGTTGTTACTCCCAAAGACATCAGACATGCTCATTTAAATATCTCTAAAAGTAGTGAAAGACACACACACAAGAAGATTTATCTCAGTATTATTTATAGCAGCTCACTGAAACAACCCGTTTGAGAAGCTAAGTGGATTATGATATATATATATATATATATATATATATATATATACACACACATATATTCTGAAGAATATGATGCAGTCATTAATGATGATGTTCCTCCCTATTTACTGCCTTGAAAAGATCTCATGCATATGAATGAGTAAAATAGGTAGAGAATACATGTATGAGCTTATCTTTTTCTTTTGTTTTTGATCTTTTTTTGTCATTTATTGAATTTTTTATGAATCTATGAGCTCATTTATATTAAATTATTTTTTTAAAGATTTTATTTATTTATTTTTAGAGGGGAAGGGAAGGAGAGAGGGAGAGAAACATCAATGTATGGTTGCCTCTGGTGCTTTCCCCACAGGGAACTGGCCTGCAACCCAGGCATGTGCCCCGACTGGGAACCAAACCGCGGTTGTTTAGTTCGCAGGCCCACACTCAATCCACTGAGCTACACCAGCTGGGGCTATATTAAATTATTTTTATATGTCAATGATAATGAGAAAGCTTGTTTTGGTTAAATGTCTAGATTTTTATTGTGTGCTTTACACCTTTCTGTATTAGAATTTGTCAAAATGGGCATGCATTATTCTTTTAAAAATATTTTATTTATTTTAGAGATGGGGAAAGGGGGGGAGAAAGAAAGGGACAGAAACATGGATGTGGAAGAAGAAACATTGATTGGTTGCCTCTCGTAGGCCCCCAACTGGAGGACCTGGCCTGCAACCCAGGCATGTGCCCTGACTGGGAACTGAACCAGCAAACTTTTGGCACCTAACCCACTGAGCCACACCAGTCAGGGTGGCATGTGTTATTTAAATAAAACAAAACAGTAAAGCTGTAAAATGTAAATGATAAAAAAATCCAAGTACTGTTGCTCTTCCATTTGCACCTGGGCTATGTCCATTAGCAAAGAAGCGAAATCATTTTAACTAGAAAGAAGGGAAGGAGAGAAGGCAAGCAAAGATTGGAGTTGGCTGTACTTTCTCCTCTCTTATAAGCAGTAGAGCTTCTTCAGTCTGTAATAGGACTTCAGTGCACACAAAAAAGCCTGCTGCACTTTTCTTGTTTGGAAGTTAGAAATGCGTGGCCTATTCCTCTCTGGCAAGGAGATGAGCGAAGAGAAAGGAGTGGTCCTTTCCGTAGTCGATTTGAATGAAAAAAGGGCTCCTTAAGAGTCGGCTTTCTGGGGATTAGGAAAGCAGTTCTGGTCAAATAAAATGCCCTAAGGCTATGGAATTCAATATCAAAGAATTTTTCACAATCCCAGCATTCAAGGTAACCCCTCCTTTTGCATTCTTTCAAAATTCCACCTAATTCCTTTACCAGAATACATTTTAATTCCTCTCGGCAGTTCATTCCCATCTTTTTTACACCTAGCACTAAGGCATCAAGATTTTAGCAAACTATGGAAGTGCACACAGAAGCTTTCTCTAAGTTATGAGGTGTGGGTATCTCCTAGGCCCAAAGATCCACCGAGGTTTGCAGGTGCTATGGTCCCAACAGGCGAAGAAATGAATCTGAGAGTCTAAGAAGCAGTTGGTGTTGAAATGTGTGTCCTGACCCAAGTCCCCTAGTCCAGTCTCCTGCTTGTACAGTTATGAGCATTTGTCCAACTCTGAAGGTCCGCAAAGTGCATTTTCAAAATAACCTAGTCAGCAGGCGGTCCCCAACCTTTTTTGGCACCAGGGACTGTTGTCATGGAGGACAATTTTTCCCTGATGGGGGATGGAGGGAATGGTTCCCAAGATGACTCAAGTGCATAACATCCAAGCTCACCTCCTGCTGTGCGGCTCAGCTCCTAATAGGCCCAGACCATCTGGTCCTGGGGACCACAGTTGGGGGACCCCTGCTTTAGATTATGTAAATCTTAACCTCCTGATGGGAACACAAACACTGCGAGTGGGGCTATAAATGTGTGCAAACTTTCTGCAAGACAACTTGACAAAAATATTGCTATGGACTCATTGAGCACCCCCAAATTTAGAAGCTGAAGCCTTATAATCCCCCTCAACGGTGACTGTATTTGGGGATAGGACTTTAAGGGAGATAATTAAAGTTAAATGAAGTCCTAAGGGTGGGGCTCTAATGACAATGATAGACAGGGCTAGTGCCCTTAGACAAGGGCAAGAGACACCATAACTCTCGAACAGGACTTCTGCAGCCCAAACAGCACTGAACACCGTATTCTGCCGCGTATAACGCGCTGCCGCGTATATTGCGCACTCACGTTTTTTAGCACATTTATACACATTACACCCGTTATTATATCTGTGGTGTGCAATTACTGTACCCACGCATTATGTACACCCTTATTTTTCCCTCAAAAATTTGGGCAAAAGAGTATGCATTGTATACAGCAAAATACGGTATGGGACTTTGAGCCCATTATTTAACCTCCGTATTAGTTTATTATTATTGACTTTTCCTTCTACATCCTACTAATCTCCGGAGAACTTTACTCTTTGTTCCAGCCCAGTAAACATGGTTTTACAAGTGGTTTCAACGGAGACTCGCCTACCTGCTGTAATTGGGAGGATGGCGGGGGAACTGCCCATCCAAAACAAGACTTATTAAAAATCAGAATTCCAGCAGTGAACTTGTGTTAAACAAATTATTGGCAAAGGCGATCTCAGTCTCTGGGCATAATTTGCCTGCAAGGACACACACACACACACACACACACACACACACACTCTCCCCCTCTGTCCCTCTCCCTCCCCACCCTCTCTCCTTCCCTGACAGTGGTGTTCCAATGGCCTGCCATGTTGCTTCAAACTCAAACCGACACCACTGCCTTGCAGAGCTGGCCTCACGGGCGTGCACCCCGTGCAGTTGCCCAGGTCCTCCCCCGGAGAAGGGCCCTGGGCTTGGCTTAATGTTCTGCTCTTGTTGCTGTCTTGAAATTCTTAATAATTTTTGAACAGGCCCTTTGTCTTCATTTTGCACTGGGCCCCACAAATTCTATAGCAAGAATGGCTTCCTTGGGTACAAGCATTGTCGTTAGAGAAGCCTTATGTCGAGAGCAAATCATTTACCTGAGAAGCACGCCACATTAACACCAGTTATCACCCATTTTGTCACATTAATTAATGTGCTAATTAGTTAATTGAGACAGCAGAGCTCTGAAGGGTTGAAGCAGCGAACCTCCGAGATTTTTGGTGTGGAGAAGCAGCCTGAATAGGTGCAGAGCATGAATATTACCTGCACTGGGAGGGAAAAACGAAGGCACTATTTATGCGATGTATCATGCTATTTATGTTAATTCTGCTTAACTTAGAGTTTTTTTTTTATTTAGAAGATGAACAAAATGAAAGATGCTAGATTATTTTACCTACATTTCTAAGAGGTGACATTTTTATTTTTCAGAGTCAGATAAATTATTAGAATAATTTGTTTTTTGCTAAAAGCAGTTATACTTCTGTTTATCATTTATTTTTCAAAGTTTACAAAATCTATACTATAGGTATTTTTCAGTCAGAAAGTCAAAATCGTTCCTGTAGTATTAATACACCTTTACTTTATAGTAAATCTTAAATATTAATTAAGGAGGTATTTTTCTCTATTTTACTAGACTTGTTTTGAGTCAAAACTGATAATGTTGTTCTTTTTTAAAATTTTATTTATTTATTTTTAGAGAGAGGGAAAAGGGAGGGAGAAAGAGAGGGAGACAAACATCAGTGTGTGGTTGCCTCCTATGTGGTCCACACTGGAGACCTGGCCTGCAACCCAGGCATGTGCCCTGACCAGGAATCAAACAGGTGACCCTTTGGTTCACAGCCCACACTCAATCCACTGAGCTACACCAGCCAGGGCTGATAATAATGTTCTTCTAAACAACATTTATGTATTAGACCAGAGTTCATATCATATATTTTGTTTCATTTTGTATTACATTCATTTTAGTGTGTTCAAAAAACAAATTAAAACCAACATTTATGATACTCTGTATCAATCAGCAAAATTTATTGCTTTTCATTATTTTACTGTAAAGGCAAAGAATGCAAAAGTCAACTGTTAAAATGAAAAAACCCCAGAAAATTATATTTGAACAACAATTAAAATTTTAAAAAGGGGGTGGGGCCTCGGCTGGTATAGCTCAGTGGACTGAGCATGGGCCTGCGAACCAAAGGATCACAGTTCGATTCCCAGTCAGGGCACGTGCCTGGGTTGTAGGCCAGTTCCCAGCAGGGGACACACAAGAGGCAACCATACATTGATGTTTCTCTCCCTCTCTCCTTCCCTTCACCTCTAAAGATAAATAAATAAAATCTTTTTTTAAAAGAAATATTAAAAAAAATAAAAGGGGGTGGGCTGGGACGGGGGTAAAAGGGGGAAAATTGTACTTGAACAACAACTTTAAAAAACTGTAAAAAAAAAAGCCTTGTGGGTGTGGTTCAGTGGGTTGAGCACCAGACTGTGAACTGAAAGCTCGAAGGTCAGGGCACGTGCCTGGGTTGCGGGCCAGGTCTCCCACTGGGGGCCTGTGAGGGGCAACTGTCCCATGTGCCTCTCACGCATCGGTGTGGCTCTGTCTTTCTCCTTTCCCCCTAACTAAAAATAATTGAAATGAAACCTTACAAAAAAATACATCAGAGGACTTGATGTATTTATGTTGAACGACAATACAAATAAAGATAAATGACTAAAAGATTGAATGAAGGGTGCTAAACAGGAGAATGAACAACTTAAAACAAATCCTAACATTCATGTAATGATATATGCATATCCTGTTTAAAGAGAAAACAAGCAAACCTGGCTTTACTGACCTGTAGAAGGGTATTGATGGCCCCGGCTGGCGTGGCTTCGTGGATTGAGCATCGGCAGGTTCGACGTCCAGTCAGGGCACGTGCCTGGGTAGTGAGCCAGGCCCCCAGTTTGAAGTGCATGAGAGGCAACCACGTATTGATGTTTCTCTCCCTCTTTTTCTCCTTCCCTTCCCCTCCCTCTAAAATATAAATAAATAAAATCTTTAAAAAAAAGAGTATTGATGTTCACCAAATCAGAAATGTTGGGAATTTTTTATTTTTCTGAGAATTGTTATAAGAGTTTGTTTGAGCCACGCTGACAACACATGGGAAACAAGACCTCAGATGCTCTCACAAATCCTTGGCATTTAAAAAGTACGAGGCATAGTTTTAGAAAAGGAAGGTGAGACAAATCTCATTTCCAGGTGTCCTGTCGTCGAGACAATGAAAACAAGTCCTTCTGAATTCCTTTGTTTCCCCCACACTTCTTAGAAACCTGCATTTGCACAGTTTTTGTCTTGTGTACAATATACTAGGTTTGTTCCCAACAGTTTCAAGCTCTTTCAGAAAAGCCTGAGGACCAGGAAGATTGCCGGGATGAGCACTGAAAGTTTTCAACAGAAGAGGGCACTCAGAGCATCAAACCCCACTTTCGCCAAAGGAGAGGAGGAGGGAGGGGAGAGAGACAGAGGGGGAGTGTGTGTGTGTGTGTGTGTGTGTGTGCGTGCGCGCGCTTCCTTGTGGGCAAATTATGCCTAGAGACCAAGATCACCTTTGCCAATAATTTAACACAAGTTCACTGCTGATATTGTAATTTTTAATAAATAATTTTTCACAAGTCAAAAGCATATAGGATAGCCCTAGCTGGTGTGGCTCAGTAGATTGAGTGCTGGGCCTGTGAACCAAAGGGTCGCTGGTTAGATTCCCAGTCAGGACACATGCCTGGGTTGCAGGCCAGCTCCCCATTATGGAGTGTGCATGAGAGGCGACCACACATCGAAGTTAGTCTCTCTCCCTTTCTCCCTCCCTTTCTGTCTAAAAAAATAAATAAATTTTTTAAAAAGCACATGGGCCTTGGCTGGAGTAGCTCAGTGGATAGAGCGCAGCCTGTGAACCAAACAACTGCGGTTCAATTTCTAGTCAGGGCACATGCCTGGTTTGCAGGCCAGTTCTCAGCAGGCGATGCACGAGAGGCAACCGTACATTGATGTTTCTCTCGTTCTCTCCTCCCCTTCCATTCCCCTCTAAAAATAAATAAATTGAAAAAAAGCATATGGGATAATGTCTCTTAAAAGCCCAAAGAGAAATAACATACTGCAAACCAATGATAGATTACCACACTGTTCTTCCAAGTGAAGGACAGATGAATGAAAGTCCAAATGCAGTTGAAGTGTACTTTTCTACGAGTTGGTTCTTGGCAGAGTCAGTCCTGTGAAAGGGCTAACAAGCAGTCCATGGAAGAGACAGCCTTATGGCCAGAGGTAGGGGATCCAGAGCTGAGAAGCCTCTAGAAATAAACCCTTGTTAATTTTACTAATTCGCCGTCCTACGCTTAAATTCCTTACTGACTACATACCCCGAAACCTATGCTCCTTTGTCTTGTCAAATCCCCACACATTTAATGTTTCTTTATGTAAAGGATATATAAATAGCCTGTTCCACTTCTCTTGCAGAGAATTAGTCTTTTAATTCTCTTGTGTACACATAAAAAAACACGAGATTTTCTTCTGCTATTCTGCCTTCTGCCAATTTTATTAGTAGCCACAGGACCTCAAGCAGGGTAGAAGGGGTATTTCCTCTCCCCAACAGCTGGAAGGTCACCCCCAATGTCTCATGCAGCCAGCTGGCTCAAGAGAACAAGCCCACACTGCCAGAAGCAGAGGAGAAAGATGGAGAGGGAGCATCCTGAGAGAGAGTAGCTTCATCACAATTGTCCTTGCCTGTCCCATGGTTAGAAATGTGAGCCAATAAATTTCTCACCATATTTAGCTGAGCTGGCTCAGGTCAGTTTTTTGTCATGTGCCACCAAGAGCCCTGATAACTTAATGGATGAAGTACAAAGTTCCTTTTTTCTTCTTTTTTTCTCAAGGTATAACGACAGTTCTATAACCTGCACCGTGAACTTGATCTCGGCTCGTGCTATTCACATCAGGGACGCTACTGAGAATGATTTTTGCATTTCAGGGAAGCTAGAGACCAATTTACTTTATAATTTAAGAAGGCATGGATTTATTCTCATAGTTTAAAACTTCTCCCAAATGACCATGTGTTACTTTTTTAGGTAAGAAAAAAGGCCAACATTATTTTTTTTTAAATCTTATAAGAAAGGATGAAATTTGTATTTCTGTCTGAGGGTCCTTAAGGTAGGATGCGGGTAGGTACTACAATGCAGTAAAGCACTCTCTGTTTTAAAGTCCTTTCCACATTTTACTCAAAATTATTGACATGGCAAGGAATTTTCCTCCTTATAATTTATTTATTTCTGCTCTGACAGTGAAAGTGATCTGCCTGGTTTTGAAGGCAAGTTGCTGTACTGTTTAAAAATGTTTACTTCTTATTTCCCCCTATTTGCTTAAATATTCTTAATTTTGACAATAAGTTACCTTCACCCTAATACCACTACTACTAATGCAAACCACAGGGCACTGAAACCTCTCTACCCCCCTGAGATCTGGGAAAACTTCATGCCAGCACCTGTTTATCTGATGAACTGGGAGAGTCCAGACCCCTCTGGGAGATTTCTGAGAATTCCTGGAGCCAGCTTCGTACCCTCAGGTCCCTCTGTGTTTCTGTCCTTGGCTAAGACGGACCTCGGATGCACTCTCTTCACTGCTTTCCACTGGAATTCCATGCCCTCCAAGCACTTTGTGGGGTTAACATCGTGGCTGAGGATTTGAGGGGTTGCTGGCTGGATGCATCCCACAGGGCACAGCCAGCCTTCTACCATCTCTGCAGCTCCACCTCCACCCTCTTCCTCTCCCGTGCAACCACACATTCCTCTCCATATTCTGAGCTGGGCAGTTCTTCACATTTAGGTCCCAGCTTCCAAGCAGGCTAATCATGGAATTTCCCCAGCAAAGGTGGGCCTCATTCTTAAGAGAAATGATTGGACCAGTTGCTAGGAGAATAACATTTCCTGGTTTGTTAAACTAAGAGGAGTATTTGACACCTACCTGGGTTAACAGGGCTCTACCTGGCTGACGGCTTGCCATCTCACTGATCAGAAAGGTTCTTGGGTGGTATTGAGAATCTCCCGCTCTCTCCATGTGGTCCATTCAGAAAATGTGAGCTGTGAAACAGGAAAACCTTCCTAAACAAGTATATTCATGGTAAAAAACGATCATCTCTGACAATTCCTTTTAACTAATAGACTGTGGTCATATTCACATCCTAAGAATTGTGTCAGTCATTTGTCTCTGAACTTTTGAGTTCAGTTGGTGTTATTTAAAAGCTAGAAGACCTACGATACAAAAAGGTTAGTGGTCAGTTATAAATGTAGGATTATATATTTCTTGGTGTCCTGACATCATTTCCAAGGTGACTTCAAACCACAGATCATGAATTACTAGTTTTAAAGACCAGTTTCCATAATGAAAATGTCCCTAGTAAAACTCAGGGAAGCCAACCAAAGTCAACATTTATCCTCAAATAATTTACAGTTCAACCCTGGTACTTGAATAACTTTATTCAGGAAGTTATTCAGGGCCACCTGGGGAAGTTCTTGCAATGAGGAATTTTGCAGAAGAAGGTAAAGACAAATTAAGAGGGTAGGAGAGTGATTAAGGTACTCATGAATATACATTTTTTGCACTGAACTATATGAACTTACAAAAATTAAAATCAATGTTTGGGGAGAAACATCTGATTTTACAATTATTTTTGGAGTGACTCATATGTACCAGCTCTATTTCTGTCACTGCAAGAATACGAAGTTGTGTGTCCCTGTCTCTGTCCCCAAGAAGCTTGCAATGGGGTGGACACAATAGTGAAATTATAACAGCCAACCCTTAGAGAGTACTTGCTCTATTTTATAGGCGCTGTTCTGAGTGCCTCTCATTTAATCCTTTACAAGCATATGAAGAAAGTGAGACGGAGAGGCTATTAGCTAATATTTACTGAGTACTAACATATGCCAGAACACTGTTCTAAGTGCTTTATATATATTAGATCATGTAATTTCACTGAAAGCCTAGAAGGTATGTAATATTATTTTACAGATTAATGATATTAATCCTTACAGCAAGCTTATTAATTAGGCCTTATTAGCATTCCTTTTTGCAGACACAAACTGAGGTGTAGAGAAAGTAAGTGATTAAACTGCTTGGCCCAGGTTACACATCCAGTGAGTGACGGAGCTGGGAATCAAACACACCTGGTCTAATGCTGGAGCCTGTCTCTTAGCCACTTTTCAATGGGCTTTCTCTACTACAAAATTCTATTATCTGTGCATTTAATTTACGTGAACTCCCCTGTGCGCACCGAGAGACCAGCAGAAGCATTGAGATGGGTAGGGCCTCTCGCCCACTCTCCTCAGCTGGCACAGGCAGTGGAGGGAATGCGCTGTGGGAGAGGAACTGCGCTGCTCAGTTCCCGGGACACTCCAAGTGTGCCCCTTTCATCACGCTGAGGGGGTTGTAGCTTCGGAGTCTGTAACACTCACACTCGTGGCCTATTCACTCCCTCTGGGGGGCAACAGCTATGTCTCTTCATGCTGGAGGACAGTGCAGTTTACCCAGGGGAGCAGTAAGTTGCTCTCTAAATTGGTGCCTTCTTAAGAACTTTCCAGGAATTTTTTGGGAGTATCACTTTTTTTTTAAACTTGTCCACTGACCTTGGAACCTGGCCCCTTGGGGGAGATGCAAAGATGCTGCATCCCATGGTCACCACCTGGGGCAGAATACAGCATCATTGGCAAAGTGAGGGCCAAACGCTGTGAATGAGGCAAAAGAGGGCAAAAATCACTTCGTGTGGGGGATGGGAGGTCCTTTGGGAAGTCAGGAGAAACTCCGTGGAGGAGAGGCTATTGGAGACAGACTCTGAAGGCTCTGTAGCCCTGACAGCCAGAGTGAGGGCATTGTATTCAGGAGGAGGTCCCTGAGCCGGGAGGGACAGGTGGGCGGGCAAGCCCAGGGAGCCGTGGGTGAGGGGCCAGTCACGGCGGGTGCCGAGACTCCGTGGAGAAGAGTGGAGTGGTGGGAAGTGAGCCCGGGAAGGTAGGCATTACCGATAACAGGATGTGAGGCTGATAGCAGCTCATCTAAATTATCGATAGGAAGAAAATGTTAATTTTCCAAGCTGGAAGAAAATTTTAATTGTTCTATTCTCTGCATAGAAAATAATATTGCAAAATAATCACATTAAGAAATAATGTGATAGTATGTAGCCAATGAAAGTTATTTTACGAGTATGTCAGACAGTTGATTAATAAAAAAGTACAGCATATTTTCTTTTGCTGGGTGTTATTACATTTGGAGGTAGCAATCAGCTTTCAAAAATCTACCATTTTTGTGATTATTTCTCACGAGGTGCAGCTTGTCTAAACTGGGTCTATCATAGTAGTTCTCTCAGGAATTCAGAATCGGCACCAACACACATCATCTACAGCCTCTTTTTAATTTTTTCAAAATATTTTTTTTCAAAATATTTTTAATTAATTCATTGATTTTCAGAGAGAAATATTGATTTGTTGTTCCACTTATTCATGCATTCATTGGTTGATTTTTCTATGTGCCCTAACAAGGGATTGAACCCATCACTTTGGTGCATTTCGAGGGATGCTCTGTCCAACACAGCCTCCCGCTGCCTCTGGACATGTGTTACTAGTTGTGATGGAGCCAAATGCAAACTGAGGGCACAGCTCTTCGTCTGCGGCTCAGCCCCAGGGAGGAGCAGACAATAGAGAGCAAGAAAGACGTTCCTGGTAGCCTTCTGGGTCCAATCCATTCCAAATGTTCACAGGACCTGACACTTACATAATAGGGGAACCCTCTTTTTAAAAAATAAAGAAGTATTGCCCTGACTGGTGTGGCTCAGTGGGTTGGGGGATGTCCTGCAACTGGAAAGGTCCTGGCTGGGCACATGTCTGGGTTTTGGGCCGGGTCCCCAGCTGGGGACCTGTGAGAGGCAACTCATGGATGTTTCTTTTGCACATCAATGTTTCCCTCTCCTCTCTCTAAAAATAAATAAATAGAATCTTAAAAACCAAAGAATTATTGATACAAAACTAGATATGAATATGCTTATTTATTTAGAACATTGCCTAACCAGTTTTAGCTCTTTCCTATGATTTGCCTGAGATCCCCGATTTCCCCCACTCTCCCCCAACCTCACTAGATCCCAGCCTGTCTCTGCCACTCCGGAGCTGGCCTTGTGCCCTCCACCCCCTGCTCAGGCTCCCCCTCTCTTGCTGGGGGCCTGTCTAGTCAATTAAAGGGTGTTCATTGTTCCTAAACTCCTTCCACTCCCACTCAAGGGCATACAAACTTCAAAGACCTTCCTCTTCTCTGGCTCTTATCTCGGTGACCTCAAAAAGGGAGCCTGTAAAAATAATTTTTGGATTCAAATTCTAACTCTGCTCAGTTGTACTGACAAAAGCAAGTCACTTAGTTTTTTTAGGCTTCAATGTCCTCGACTATGGGATGATTAGGTTAGAGTAAATATATACTATTCCTCCCGAGAGCTTTAGGAAACTGCAGGTTGGAGGTGAGGACTCCAACCAACCATGTCTCTTCCATTTGTGGAAGCTTAGTTTGCACTGATCACAGAAGGACCTTATCTCTCCTCAGTCTTACTGGGTGGTAACGAAATTGATCCTCGTTAACATATTAAATTCCTTTCTCCACTCACATAACCACAGACGTTGCAAGTGGACCTCTGAAATTCTCTGCTAGCAGAATACCAGGCGCTTTCAGGTTTGTCGAGGTGTGGCTGGGCTCCTTCACATACCGCAGGTCGCGTGTCAAGAGTGAGGCTTATTCATAGAGAGGAGAGCACAGGGCAGAGAAGCTGGAGAGGACCAGGAGGAGGAGGAGGAAGGCTGGAGGAGGAAGCTGAGCAGCCTCTGAAGAGCACAGAGTCTGGGGATGGCAATGATAATATTAATCCCTTCCTGACTGGGTTATTACGAGGATTAAAAGAAAAGACAGGCCCTGGCTGGTGTTGTAGCTCAGTGGATTGAGTGCGGGCCTGCGAACCAGACAATGGCGGTTCGATTCCCAGTCAGGGCACCTGCCTGGGTTGCAGGCCAGTTCCCAGCAGGGGATGCACGAAAGACAACCATACATTGATGCTTCTCTCCCTCTCTCCTTCCCTTCCCCTGTAAAGATAGATAAAATCTTTAAAAAAAAGAAAAGAAAAGAAAAGACAGAAAGAGAGTACACATTCAGTGACTACTGCTTAAGGTGATGCTAAATTTCAAAAGCATGTTGTTGGTACTTAGGGCTCTGACCACACGAAAGTACAATGATCAATTATTATACCTATTCATGGACTCTTGAATATTAATTTTAACCATGGAACTATTTTTATTCCCCTCTCTTCTTTACATTAGGGAAGTTAACAGTCTTTCATGTAGATCCACAGTATTTTAAAACTCAACTCTTCCCTCTTATTCCATTCTTTTCTCTCTGGTATTCACTTTTTCTTTTTAAGACTTTACTTATTTTTAGAGAGAGGGAAAAGGAGGGAGAAATAGAGGGAGAGAAACAACGTTTGGTTGCCTCTTACACACCCCACTCTGGGGACCTGGTCCACAATCCAGGCATGTTCCCTGACTGGGAATCGAACCAGCCACCCCCTGGTTCACAGTTCAGCACTGAGTCACACCAGCCAGGGCTGGCACGCTTTAATAAGGTCTTCCTGTGACCTTTTTATCCTCCTTATTGAATGGCTTCTTATCCTGGCCTTATATTTCTCCTTTTGCTTAGCAGTCTGTCATCAGCAGATATGGAAAGTGTACTCAGAGCCGGTGTGGCAGGCAGGAAGGACAGGACACAGGAGCCACAGGCTCCTGGGAGGGAATGTGCTGGCAGCCAGAGGAGAAGGGAGGGTCTGGAAAGAGGGAGGAAGGGAGTGGAGACGGCCAGAAACACTCAGGCAGCCGCGGCTCTGTAAGGCAGCATGGGAATGACAAACAGAGGTGAGCAGGGGTGCAAGGTGGCCACAGTGTCTACAACCTTGGGGGACGAGGACGCGAGGCTGGTGTCCAGGCTGATGCAGAAAGCAATACTTTTTATCCCTGGTGTTTGGACAAGAACAGTTACAACAAGGCTGCATTTTACAAGCAGTTAAGAACACAGACCTTGAAGAAGGATGCAACCTTGAATTCCACTGTTTGCTGTGCAACTTTGAACAAGTGTCTCAATGTGTCTCACCTTCAGTGTGAACTGTGAGATGGAGATAATTATACGGAGCTCATAAGATTAATGAACAGAAAGTATCTATCTAGCAGTACACAGATAGTGGTCAATATTATTGTTTTTCTAGCTGTTACTATTTACTATAACTGAAATAATGCCACCCGCTTGGAGTAGCTCACCAATAGGGGAAAAAAAGCTCCAGAAAAGAAAGCAAATAAATAAGGAGGAAAACAAGACTTTTGTTTGTTTTTCTAATCTTTAAGGTGACCCAGGAAATAAGGTGTAAAGATTCTGTAACTCATTTTAACTTAGTAGCATGGCAAAAACAGGGCTGAATGCCCTTGCAAACTAGTTACCTCACAAATAAGAAAATTTATTTCAGATCTTTTCCCATGAAAGATATTTATGGGAATAAATATCTTTGTGTTTTAATGAACTACTATAGCATTTATCCTGACTTTTATTAATAAACAAGTTTATTCAGAAACTTGAGTTAATACAATTTTAAATAACTAATAAAATGCCTTCATGTGCACTTCATTTGGACTTTAAATTTTATAATAAAGGAGCCCTGGCTGGTGTGGTTCAGTGGAATGAGCACCGGCCTGTGAACTGAAAGGTCGCCAGTTTGATTCCCAGCGAGGGCTCATGCCTGGGTTTCGGGCCTGGTCCTGGTTAGGGGTGTGCCAAGAGGCAACCAACTGATGTTTCTCTCCCTCCTTCTCCCTCCCTTCCCCTCTCTCTAAAAATAAATAAATAAATCTTTTAAAAAAGATAAGGAGACAAAATCTGGTTCTAAAAATTGGTTTTGACATTGAAAATATTATAAATTCTAACTAAAATAAAGTATAATCTATCTTAATCACTTCAAATATTTTAATAAAGCAATAAAATGTTCTTTAATTTATTTGCAGATAGAATAAAATGCTTCCAACTAGAGTACTATTTTAAAGACAAAATTGCTTTAAAATATATCAACAACTAAAATTATAAAATAACTTTTACTTATTTTACTAGAGATGTTACATAGTAAAATTACACATACAACTTATAAGGATTCAATTTTTCTTCTATATCTAAAACTGTGTATTTTCTGCTTATTTCACCTGATTGCATTTGATGGTACAAATGCCATACTTGAGAATTGTTATTGGATTCTGAAAACTTAACACGTCCTCCCAAATTACTTTGGTTTTGGCCACTCTCTAAGGCAGGTTTGTCATAACTTGTTTGATATGCACTGTTTAAATGGTTCTGATTCATAAGAGGCAATCTGGTACCTAAAACCAAGAGTGAGTTGGGGACTAGGTTCCCAGAGTGTGGGAGAGCTGTGCCTGATCATCTTTAGAGAAGCCCAGAAAGGGGTGGTGGGAGGGACAGATACGGGGCTCACAAATAAGTCAGTTAACACGAGGATCTAACTGGACAGTTGTCCAGAACCACTAATTCTTTTTTAAAAAAAGATTTTATTTACTTGTCTTTAGAGGGGAAGGGAAAGAGAGAAGGAGAGAAACATCAATGTATGGTTGCCTCTCGTGGGTCCCCCGCTGGGAACTGGCCCACAACCCAGGCATGTGCCCTGACTGGGTATTGAACCACGATCCTTTGATCCTTCAGTTCTCAGGCCTGCACTCAATCCACTGAGCTACACCAGCCAGGGCAGAACCACTAATTCTTTAAGGAGAGGCAAAAGAAGAAATTGTTTTGGGTATTCTTGCAAAGTCTACACAGTCGTTCCTAACCTGGGAATTTCCCCACCCGTAATAAGGAATCCAACAAATTTAAAGATTGCGTCGGTCAGTCAAAATTCACTACTTCGGACATCCTTGTGGTGGCCAGTTCCTAACATGGTTCCCAGTCTTAAGGTTTTCATGGTTCTTCATCTCCTGGTGTCTATGTCCTTGTGGAGTGTAACATCTCACTGAGTTGGGACTGATTCGTACAACCGATAGACTAAGTGATGGCTGGGACTCTAGAGGCGAGGTCAGAGGAGGAAGTGTGGTTTTCCCTCGTTCTCCTGGACTATTCACTTTGAGAGCTTCCAAGGATTAGCCCAAGAAAGAGCATTTCCAGTTTGGGAGGGCAAATGATTCCCCGGCAACTGCTCAAAGAATGTAGTCTCCTGTGTTCCTCATGTTGATTATCACTCTCATCCCTAAACTGGGCCCTAACGGGTCCTCTTCCCATGAAACATATAGAAATATAATATAAAAGCAGGAAAACTTCTTCCCTTGGTGAGACTATTTTATTGAAGATGGGCTGAAATTTTTAAAAGTCTGCCTTAGATAATTACAGAAAACAAAGGGGAAATAAACAGAGAAAAGAAGCATGAAGTATTCTGCCTACTACATGTTATATAATCTCATTTACATTTAATCCCTATAAATGCATGTATATGCATACAAATGTACAGAATACTTTGGAGGCTTAAGTGCTCATCTGTCATTCATGGTTCCCTGTGGAAGTGCAAAGGTTTGATATGGCTGCATATGTGTGGAGAGGAGGAGTGGAAAGAAAAGTAGAGAAGGAAAGTGGACTTGGCTTTTTAAAAAATCTATTTTGTATTATTTGAAAATTGATGGTGAGAGCATATTTATGAACCACTGTATAATTAAAAATAAGCTATGCAATATAGTAAAAAAAAAAACAGAAGTAGAAGCAATCTGGTTACAACACAAGATGCCTGTTCTATGAATCTGTTTCTAGGATTGCTGGCCACACCTGCCCTTTCTTCCCGAACCCGAGCTCGTTAGAATGCCACGCTGCAAACTTGCTGGGGTTCTCCCTTGGCCAGCTTCCACAAGGGATGTGTCTTCCCAAGACTTGCTATCAAAGAGCTGCCTCAGAGATATTAAGTTTTGGCAACTTCAAGGCCAATCCCCAGACAGCAGAGTGCTCCGTCTCCTGTTATATCAGTCAACGACGGCAACACTAATTCTGGGGAGCAAACCACCCCAAAACACAGTGCTTAAAACAATCCTTTTTCTTTTTGTCTACAGGTCACTGGCTTCAAGCTGGGGGATGGTTCCAAACCTGCTCCATGCTTCTCATTTTTCTCGGAGCACCAGAACCCCCAGGCGCATTGCTCTTCACACTGCGAAAGGCAGGTGTGGAGAGAGACAGGTGGAAACACGCAGTACTTCTTAAGGCCAGGCTCAGAATTGTCACACTGTCACTTCTGTGCATGTTCCTTTGGCCAGAAGTAAGTGAAATGACCTAAGTGCACACTGGTGGAGTGCAGAAACATTCTCACAAGAGGAACTACAAAGCCCCTTTCAAAGGGCACGCGTGCCCGGACCAGCGAAGAACTGGGAGAAGTAATGTGACCTACCAAAGCCATCCACCTCAAACCTTCCAGCTTCCTTCCAATTGGCTGGAGGGGCAATGCATTTCTTACTGGGAGATCTTCTCACTCCAGGCATCGGGCTTTGTCCTTGCATTCTCCTGAATACGCCAGGTTTTTGACATGGAGATGCAGCAGCATTGATCACTAATTCCTTCAAATATCTGAGTGGACACGGATTCCTACGAGTGACAGGTTATTTGACAGGAAATAGGGGATTAGAAATGCTTCCCTAGAAAAGGTGCTGGGCTTGTAGTGTCCTGCTCACTGTGCACCAACGATATGAGAGTTACAAAGCTGCAAATTCTTTAGTCCGAAAGGGCGCCACAGACTTGTCAGGTTTTAAAACTCGGGAATCAATAAAACTGCATTAGAGTTAAGAGGATCTTTTTTTTTTTTTTTTTAAAGAGGATCATTTTGACTAACCCTATTTGCTATCCAAGAGTTTCCCCTTTCAAGTAAAAGTCTCTTAAGTCCCCAGAGTTGCTTTTTAAGATAGGAAAGGAAGAATCCCCCCTCCCCCAATAAATGAAGCGGCATTAATAGCTTTAAAAAAGAAAGAGAAGACCAGTAAATCCTCAGGTTCTTCGGGGACTTAAATCAGTGGGGCCTCCCGTGGTTCCCTGACATTCGGGCCCTATTCGAGGGTTATTTCCACGGTTCCCACGTTATTTTCAAGAGCTACCACTTACATTCAGCAGGGTTTCTTCTCAGCTCAAGACTGGTTGTGGAGCAGCAAAAGGTGCCCATAAATGAAACTGGTGATTACCACGCCAGGCCCCTCTGAGCGCGGGCCACAGGGGCCCAGGGGCAGTAGAATGATTCCCCACGCACACGGGGCAGTCACTGCTCTTTGTTAAAGAAACAAACACTGTACCAGAAAATGCGGCGGCAGAAGAGTGTGTGTGAGTGTGTGTGAGTGTGTGTGTTTGGGGGGGTGCAGACGGAGGCGTTTGTATGCATTATTGTGCATAAGAAAGATCATTAATGAGGCGCTTCAAACGCAGGACAACCCAGGGCACCGTGTCATTGGCTTTGTGCACTTGAAGGCGGTGAGAGTGCCTGGCTGCGAGGTTCCCCTTTGTGTGGAAGTGGGGAAACCAAAAACGTGCAGCTGCTGCTGGCTTCTCGTTTTCCGATTGTAGGCGCTTGGTCCAAAATACTCCCGCACGGACACACTCCCGCATTCTCGCTCCAACAATACTTGCACTTGAGTTACTTCTCGGTCGCCGACTGAGCGCGGAGCGACAATGGCTTGGTGCGGGCGCCCGCAGCTCCGGGAGCCGCGCCAAGGGGCCGTCCGCCTCGCTCCGCAGCTGCGCGGTGAGCCCAGCCGCCCGACCGTCAGCAAACGCGGGCACCAACCGCCGCGCGGCCCGGCCGTTGGGCGGGTGGTAATTTCTGGGAACGGGGCGGGGTCCGCCGGTGTACGAGGCCGGGCGTGGAGGAGGAGCGGGCGGTGTCGAGGGGCGCGCGCCGGGCTGGGCGGTGCGCCAGGAGCGTCAGCGGCCGGGGCGGGGTCCGGGCCGAGCGGGCGGCGTGCTGCTACCCGCCCGCGCCCCCAGCTTTCACTTAGCTTGGCTGAGAAGTGGAGACGGGAGGGACGCGGGCTAGGAGTCTTCCAGCCCCGGCCCCCAGTGACTGTCAGGCTGCCCGAGTGCGGGGCCGTGCAGGAGGAGGAGGGCGGGAGCCCAGAGCCGGGGAAGGGGCGCGGGCCTGGCCCGCGGGGGCGCTCCGAGAGTGGCCGGGCTGCGTGCGTGCGGACCCGGCCGGCTGGGCGGCGAGGGCGGGCGCTGCAGGTGCACGCGCGGCCCCGTCGCCCCCACGCGCCCGGGCGGCCGGCGCGTCGGAGCCCCTGCGCCAGTCGGGGAGGCAGAATGGGGGAGTTCCGAGCGGGGCGCGAGACAAGTGGGGAGAGTCATTACCTGAGCGGGCGGCTTTGGGAGAAGTTGGGGGATCAGGGGCGGGCAGGGCTCGGGAGCCGCGGAGGCAGGTTTGGGCGGGCTGCTGGGCGCCGCGGGCGGCGGGCCCCGCGGGGTATAAATAGCCGGCCCCGCTTTGACAGGAGCTGCGGTGACTGGCGGGGCCGCCCCCCCGCGCCGCGCGGGGAGGGGAGGAGCGCGCGGGGCGGGCGGGGTGGGGGAGGCGGACTCAAGTGTCCTGGTGGCGGCGGCTGGAGGCCGAGGGGGAGGAGCCGGCCGGGGGTTGGAGGGAGGGGAGCGGGCCGAGGGCGGGGGCCACCATTGCTCCCCGCGCCGGGCTCTGTGTCGCGGCCGTCGCCTCGGCGGTTGGGGGTCTGTGGGGCGGCGCGGGCGGGGGGCGCTGCGCGGGGCGGCGCGCGCTGTTTTGTCTCCACCTCTCCCAGCGGAGCGGCTCGGGCTGCCGGGAGGCCCCGGCTCCCTCCGGACGCCCGGCCAGCCGCGGCCGCGGCGGCGGCGGCGAGTCCGCGGCCCTGCAGGGAGGGAGAGCGACGCCGCCGTCTTCCCGGGCGAGGCGGGGTTCAGGTAAGAGCGCGGGCTGCCGGGGCCGTGGGAGGGAGCGCGCAGGGCGCGGCGAGGCAGCCTCGCTGTCCCGAGTGCCGCCGCCTCCCTCCGCGCCCCCCTCCCCGCGCCTGTGTTGTTTGCTCCGCGGTTTGCGAAGGGGTTTTCCGGCGGCTGTGGCCGTGACACCGGCCGGGCGCGGGGGAAGGGGGCTGGCGCCCTCGGGCAACGGTCGGGGAGCGGGACGCGGAGAAAGGGGAAGGCGCGCTGCGCGCCGGCCCGCGGGGAGTGCGGGGCGCGGGGCCGGGCGGAGGGAAGAGGTTACGGACCCCGGCGGGGGGGATGGGCCGCGCGCAGCCGGGCTCGCCGTGTTTACATCTCCGCGCGAGTCACCTCTGCCGAGAAGCGGACTGAACTGACCCGCCTGCTCCCGCGGGGAGGCCAGGGCGGGGGTCCGGCTCCGGAGGAAGCGCGTCCTGGGAGGGTCCGGTAGGGCGGGAGGCTGCGGCCGGCGCCGGGGCAGGGCGGTCAGCTCGGGGCGGGACCTGGGAGGCTCCGGCCGCTCGGGGCGGCGTGTGGGGCTGGAGAGCAGTTCCCTTCCCCGCGGGCCCGACCGCCGCCTCCTACCTTTCCTTCCCTGGGCTGTTAGCTTGCTCGGCAGGTTGTACTTGGTCGTTCTTTTATTCTCGCGCTCCACGCCGGCCCCCTGCGGCCACTTCCCCTGCTCCCCGCGGGGTAGGGAGGCTTGGCTCTGTGAGGAATCTGTTTTGAAACCAAACAAAAACGGGCTCGCAACACGCGTCCGGTGACGGCCTTCTGGAGCCTCGCTCCGCCGAGCCGGCCCTCCGGGACCGAGCTCCGGGCTGTTGTGGCGGGGCGCGGGGGCAGCTCGGGGAGGGCTCCGCGGGGCCGGCGCCGCCTGTCCCCGCAGCTCTGCGAGCAGGGCAGCGGGCCCCTCCGGTGCTCCGGTTGGGCATTTTATTCCAGGGAAGGACGGAGAACACGTTCCACACCGCCAAGAGTGATCCAGATTGCACAGTTTCTAATGTCTCTCGTGAGCCAGCATCCTGGGCTCTTTTTCTAGGAGCTGGATTCGCGGCGGAACACGCAGCCTTTAAGTTCCTAGCACTTGCCTAAATGAATGTAAAACTGTAGGGTTTTCCTCCTTTCTTGTGTTCTTGGACCTTGACTTCAGCTGTGTGGTTTAAATTTTAATCCGGCGTTGAGAGGACAGTAATCGTGTGTTTGGTAATCAGGTCTGCTTTCCCTTTTATCTGTGAGTCTCTGCGGAGAGGTGGACGAAGCTCTCCCTCCAGTGCCGTAGTCGCCGAAGAGTGACAATCGCAGGAGAGTGTGTGTGCCCTCTTCAGGACTGGGCGTTTTTGTTTCAGAGTTTCTGCCCTTTCTCAGAAGGCGGAATGATCCGATATAAGACTGCAGTGATCCTATATAAGCTGGTAAATTAGAGTGAAAGGGCTTTTAGGAATAATTGAAGTTTATATATAGTGTGCCACGGTTTGCACGGTGGGTTCACAGGAACGTTCCTGAGGGATCTGGGAGAAAATGGAACCAACTATCTTGGGCATCTGAAATTTGAGTATTTAATGTCAGCCTCTTTTGAAGCTTGGTGACTAAATTGATTACCCATTGCTTCTTATTCCAGACATCCACGATCGCACAATGAGAGTGTTGTTGGAAAGAGTTTGTAAGTTCGGGATTTTTCTATTGTAAGTCAGGAGACTGGTGAGGGAGGCCGTGGCAAGGCCTACCCGCGCTGGAGGCCTTGGCCACCTCCCAGGTGGCACACCCAGTTTTTTTTTTTTTCCTTCATAAGAGCTTTATTGAGATATAATTCTCATGCCGCTCAGATCTTCAGTTGGAAGTGTGCAGATCAGTGATTTTTAATATGTTCACAGAGCTGGGCCAGTGATCACCACGATCAGGGTTGCATTGGTCTCATCACCCCACGGAGGCCCCGCGGAGGCCCCACGGAGGCCCCGCGGAGGCGGTAGTGGTCACTTCATTTTTTCCCAACACCCCCCGGCCGAGGCACCATTGATCTAACTTTCTGGCTATAGATTAGCCTATTCTGAGCATTTTTAAGAAAGATTTTATTTATTTATTTTTCGAGAGAGGAGAAGGGAGGGAGAAAGGGAGGGAGAAAAGCACCAATCAGTGGCCTCTTGCTCACCCCCACCGCAACTCCGGCATGTGCCTGGCCCTGACCCAGACTGGAACTGGCGACCCTGGGGTGGCAGACTAGTGCTGAATCCACTGAGCAACAACAGCAGCAGGGGGCTGTTCTGAGCATTTTATATAAATCGGGTCTCACAATATGTGACCTTTTGTGACTGGTTTCTTTCACTTAGCATAACATTTTCAAAGCACACTCATTGTAGCAAGCCATCGGTTCATTGCTTTTTATTGCTGAGTAATATTCCATTGTATGGATATACCACATACTATTTATTAATTCGTTGATGTTTGAGTTTCCACTCTTTAGCTATGATGAATAATGCTGCTGATGAACATTTGTGATCAAGTTTTTGTGTGGACATGTTTTCATTTCTCTTGGATATGTACACTTAAAATATTCAGCTCTTTGAGTTATTTTAAGAAAGATTCTATTTACTTATTTTTAGAGAGGGAAGGGAAGGAGGAAGAGAGGGAAACATCAGTGTTTGTGGCCGATATGGGGACCTGGTCTGCAACCAGGCATGTGCCGTGACTGGAAATCCCAATTGGCGACCCCTTGGTTCCCAGGCCAAGCACTCAATCCACTGAGCCATGCTAGCCAGGGCATTTTTTTGATATAAAAAATTGATCCAAGCCCTGGCTGGTGTTGCTCAGTGGATTGAGCACAGGCCTGTGAAGCAAAGGGTCGCTGGTTCGATTCCCAGTCAGGGCACATGTCTGGGTTGCAGGCCAGGTCCCCAGGAGGGGACATGCAAGAGGCAACCACACATTGATGTTTTTCTCCCACGCTTTCTCCTTCCCTTCCCCTCTCTCTAAAAATAAATAAACAAAATATTTTTTTAAATGGATCCATTTTAAGTGCACAATTCAATGACTTTTAGTAAATATATAAAAGTGTTAAACTATCACCACAAGCCAGTTTTAGAAGACTTCTATCACCTCCCAGAATTCCCTCCAGCCTGTTTGTAGTTGGTCCTTATTCTCACCCCTTTGTCCCTGGCAACCAAAGCAATGATTTGTGCTTTGTCTACAGATTTGACTTTTTTGTTTTTTTTTCTTTGTTGTTCGTGTTTTTTTTTTTTAAGATTTTATTTATTTATCTTGAGAGGGGAAGGGAAGGAGAGAAGGGGAGAAATATCAATGTATGGTTACCTCTTGTGAGTCCCCTGCTGGGAACTGGCCTGCAACCCAGGCACACGCCCTGACTGGAAATTGAACCGCGATCCTCTGGTTCAT